CTGAAACGAACAGCACAGTGGTTTGGCCCGGACTGCCCGGCGCCCGCGCCACAGGCGCGGCGCCAAAATACTTAGGTCACCAAAATCGTTGAAAACTTGTCTCGTGGGGTAGCTTGACCCCTGAACACGAATATCACATTCGTTTCCCGCGAAAATGCCTGGCGCCCGCGCCAAAATGTCCTAGATCATCAAATTCCCTGAAAACTTGTCCCTACCGGTGAACCGACCCCCTCAACAAAAATATCATGTCCACTTAACGCGTTGACGACGATTTCCGTCAATGGTGGACGACAGAAAGTTTGTCTTGTGGAACGGCGTCGCAATGCTCCCACAGTTATTATATAACTCAAGATCTGCGCGATTGTTTCACTTTCTTTTCATAAAATTAGTTCAAGAACAAACATTTTCGGGTCGAGGGATGCGATATTGTTCTTTAGGAGATCAAACCACCCCGGGAGACAAATTTTCAGTCAATTCTGTCTCCAGAGGAAGAATTTGGTAAAAAATGGCCTGATTTTGGAAGATTGGAGCAATAAGAGCTAAATTGTGTCAAAGATTCGAGATTGCTATACTCGTCTCTTACATTTTGGTCGTAGTAATTCATTTATTTGGAAATTACTAAGTTTCAGTGTAGAAAAATGTGCCGTCCCAGGCGCAAGTCATGGGAAAAATGGCTCGTCGTCAACGTGTTAATGGTTCTGATCACGTTTATGACATCTATTCTTGGTGTCCAAGCAATTTGGAGCCGGAATAGCGCTGAACGTCCCCAGTGTACATAGTGAATTCAGTGCAAGGAAGATGTGGCTTTGAATTGGCGATAAATGGCACCACAGCCAGAAGTAGGTACCTTTCTCGATCACTGATCAGCCTACAAAGATCAACGTTCCGCAACAATCGTATTCAATGGTATGTGAAAATCGAAAATAGTTGAACAGCACCGACTTATGGGGTATAACTATTGCCCATAAATGCGTGAATTTGTGCCCATAAATGGTGAATGTCCATGTTATACTCACGCACAGGCATATAGGAAGCGAGAACAGCGAAACATGAAAAATGCAAAAACTATCAGCTCGAGGGAGTCGAACCATCAACCCCTTTCACTGTCCGATTGAGAAACCTCCACGCTACCTATTGGACCAGTCGTTCGCCGTTGTGTATACCGCTCCGATCTTTGAAGAAACCATTCCAAGGAGCCGCTCACCTTGAGCATGTGACCCAAGTTGGAAGCTCATTTGCGGCGATTTTTCGCTTCGATTCAAATAGTCCCTTTATAAGGACCCCCCCCCACTCAGCAACTGGTCAAAGTTGCAAGTGCAGCGCATAGAGGCCCAAACGAAGCAGATTCCAAAGATTTCTTTTCACTCGTTTTTTACCTTTCCTGGAAGCGCGCAGCGAAAATGAAGCACACTTTTCAGGTCCTTGCATGAGCCCCTACAATATGCAAAAAACCGTTTTCAAAAAGCGCACCACGCCTCTGAACGACCTCCCTTGTGAGAGGGAAGAAACTATGTGGTGGGGTGGATCTATTCCTTTGTGCCTTCGATGCTCCTAATAGTCTCCCTGGTTAGTTTAATGATACCCTATCGGAATAGAAACCAGAGCCTAGCAACAAATACCATGCTTTTCGCCAAATGTCTACGCACTTCACCTTCCTATTCGAGACTGATCAATTTGCCACCTGAAATATGCTGGAAATCCTTTATGAGGTGTTTCAAGCACTATCTCGACGAGGAGGAAGCGGAAAAGCACCGTGCCGCGTGCCCCCCTCCCGCTTCCAAATACGATGAGATATATTAACACTTATTATTTCTCACGTTTCACTCGCGCTATATACTAAACCAGTCGGATCACCTCGGCTGCCGCCGGGTGCTCCTCCTTCTGTTTCACGGCCCGGCTTCGCCGGGCCGACCTGGCTTCGCCAGGCATTCTTCCCTGGGCGAGGTAGAATGCGCTAAATGTGCAAAATGATGACAGCAATTTTTTTATTGAAATGCAGGAAAATGAGTTGAAAATAGCTCAACATCAGTCATTATCTACCAACATCTGGTCCCCTTGCTTACTACAGACTTTCAACCGTGAGAAGGCTGCACCATATCATTAAGGACCGCAGTTGCGACAACAGAATGGGTAAAGTTGAATTAGTCCGGATGAGTCCTTAACAACCGGAAGAGGCATAACTGCAGAGTAATGGGTGGCACTGAAAAGGAGAACTCCACATTGCTTGTACATATAAAAGTTTGTGTCGCGCGGACACGGAGAGCTCGAATGACCACCGACAGGACGCTCCCACTCCCAGTTGTTGGGTTCCCTCCTTATTTTGCTTCAGTTGCGATCGCCACGCCACCTCCTAACACATCACATAGGAGGCGGATTTGCGAAACTTTTTTTGATTGGAAAATTTCTCTATTTTCCCGTTTCAGCCGCACAATATACCCTCCCCCCCCGACAGCACTACATGCATCTAAAAGCAGACACTTCAATGGACGACCTTGATCCCTTACATCGAACATCGAAGGAAAGAGTTCACACACTGAGCCTCTAATACTCGGCATTAAAGCGGTAAGAAGTGATAAAAATGTAGCGCAGATGGTATCTTATCCGTTTTTATCGATTGATAAGATTACCTGTCACCCGTCATCAATGTCCTCATCACTAAATCTATGATTTGGTAGCGTGAACCACCTTGAACAGCGACGACGACTGCAACTTCACTTATCAGTCTCTATCAGTAGTTATCGCTTCCAGTCACCCACGATTCATGTCCCCATCTCACCCTCTATATCACTTGCTGAGACGTACGCCTCGCTGATGCTGTGACCTGCGCTGTGAATACGATGACCTCACCTCTAACGCCCCTTATCGAATCTTATCAGCAGCTTACAGTTCTTGTCACCCACCAATAATGTTCTTGGCCCATACCCTTTATCATATCTTGGAATCAAGAGCTAGCTGATGCTGTCACCCGCGTTATGAATATGGTGACCTTCTCCTTCTAACGCCCCTTATCGATCTTATCAACTGATATCACTTCCTGTCACCCACCAATAGTGTTCCCGTCACACCCCCTACATCACTTCTTGGAACCAATGTCTCACTGCTACTGGGACCGGCGCTATGAATTTCGTGACAAACAGACACACACACACACACGGACCTAGCGGATTATATAAAGTAGGGTACCTCGGGGAAATCTGGCTAGGTGAGAGGAATGTGGCAACAGGGGGCCGTACCAATACCGAGTTTTCGGGGACTGGGGAAGGGACACTCACACCGCCATTCCACCATCCCGATGATGAGCCCTACATCAAAATCGAGACACCGGAGGTTGCGCATTGCGGAGGAATGCGAGGGTAGCAGGGTGTGGGTGTCGGTGGGAGAGAAAAGTGCGAGACAAATGAGCGTGTGGCGTGTTAGGTCTGCGCTATGGCGTGATAACCGCGCCGCAAGATCGACCGAGAGCAGAAAATGGTCTCCAGTTAAGCGCGCGAATGCATTTGCAGCTTGTTATGGACATTGCACGTTCTTTTCTAGTTTTCTTCCTTCGGTTATTTTCGTTTTACACCTTAAAGGATACGATCATATTACAGGATGGCAGCAGGGGCCATTCTAAAGACGACGGGGGCCGTCATCGTCATTTCCGTAGCTATTTTCATCGGCGTAGGTAAGTTGCACAGTTGTATCCTCACTTGTTTTGATGTTGTTCAGTTTTCAAAGGGATCAGAAGCGGTTATTTGTGCTCAGAACGTTCTCATTCCCCAATTTCAGGATTGTACTACATGCTAACTGGTCAAGGTCACAGATTTGATATTGGATGGTTCCTGACTAGTACTTCACCACATATGTGGGCCGGCTTGGGCATAGGCTTCTCCCTCTCTTTGTCCGTTCTTGGAGCAGGATGGTGAGTGATCTTATTTCCGTTTTATGACTCTGTCTTCACCCTCAATCGTGGCTTTCAGTACGATGTTTAAAACGTTTTTCCTGGTTGTTGCTGAGGTACTTTTCTTGTGAAGCTGCAGTTTGCAGTCAGTCAGAGGGAACTGTAAAATAGACTTACTTTATGCTGGCAAAATGCTCAACAAAGCAAGAGAAACGATCAAATTCTGGTTCATGAAGAAAAATTTTCGCTAGTTAGCTCTCCATTCCAAATGGGTACTCTCCTTGATTTACTTTGGAATGGAGTTTTAGGGGTATCTTCACAACTGGTTCGTCCATTTTTGGTGGTGGAGTGAAGGCTCCCAGAATACGAACGAAGAACTTGGTTTCAATCATTTTCTGTGAAGCCGTGGCTATTTTCGGTATCATTATGGCGTTTGTCTTCGTTGGAAAAATGGCTGTGAGTTGCACAAATTTCACAATGTTTTCTTTTTCTTATAACGAATGTCATTTTCTTGAGCTGGCACGTAGCGCAGTAAACGCCATGTACGGGGGCTCTCCATGAACCTCCATTGTAATGACGTAAGATTTCTTGATTGAACTCCTCACAATGTTGTCCCTTAACCTTTACGCTGGCTTACGTTTCGGCGGGATCTTCCTCTTTGGAGCTTGAAGATCGAAGCAAATTATGACTACCCGACCCAACGTCTCCGCCCTCCCATTGAAGTTCGAGATCATTACAGATCACCACCCAGTCGTGAGGAGGGACTCACCACATCTCTCTTTCTTTCATCTTTTCTTTCTTTCATCACATCGACGAGCAAGTCGGTAGTAAGACCGCTTCGGACTGTCTCTCATTCAGGGTGAGTATTAGAAGGCACTCGTGTATATCTCAGCTCCCGCGTTACTGTGACGCATTCTTCCCTCTTGTTCGTTTTTGGACTGCAGACCTCAATCCTAAATGCCTCGAGGGTTTCTGTGCGGATGTTTGCGTTCTTGTAGCAAGTCCCTGACCTTGACTCCAAAATCGTCCTCGCCATGAATTTGAACTCTGTGGGCCCCTAAGGCAGTAGTCAAACGGTGACCTACTCTTGCTGTGTGCTCCTTCACCTTCACCGTTGCGTTGAGTGCCCCCCCCCCCTTAGGAATAGGAATGATCCGTAATGACCGGTAGGGTAGTGGAGACGTTTGGTCAGGTAGTCATAATTTGCTTCATCCTTTCAGGCTGCAAGAAAGCGATCCCGCCGAAACGTAAGCCAATTTAGGTTAACTGACAATCTCGTGTGGAGTTCAATCAAGAAATCTCACAATCATTTTCTTAGGTTTTCTAAAGGGACAATTCTTGCATATCTCGGTTTGCACTGTGAGTTTTTAGCCGTTTACTTGAATGTTCAAGATGGCGTTATTTTCTCAAACCCATTAACTTCGTAATCGTGGAATGGAGCTCATGCCAGACCTTGTGAAATACGGTCACTTTTTCAACAATTGGAGAATGTAGGGACCACAGCATTCCCCAGCTTATCGGTTCCGTTTCGCACGTCTCCCTCTATAGGCACGTGCGAAACGGAAACTACACTACTTCCTCGAAATCAATAAAAACAAAAATTTGAATTAAAAAAGATAAATAAATAAATGATTAGATAAATAAGTGAATGAAAAAAATCAATATTTGAAAATTATATCGCAGTTTCATACAATAATGTTAATCATTAGAACAAGTAAAAGTAAAAATTAAAGTAATTATATCACACTATAATCACATTATAAAGCTCTGAAGGGTGCTGGCACACCTTAAGCTTCCCAGTAACTGTCTTGCCGTTGGGAACAACTTTTGCACCTACGACCCCCCCCCCCAAAATTTCCTCCTCTCCAACGTGCCCCCTCCCCCTTCTCGAGTCTCTCACTTGATTCTACCGTCTCCAACTGGAGACCCTGAACTTCTCCAACTTCTCACGTGATTCCCGAGTTCCTCCTAAAATCCTCCAGTTTCACCCCAGAAAACAACTGTGTAACGGGGTATATAACGCCCTTGGAACTGTAAAAACTGGAAAAAGTCAACAACCGAAAATCTTTTTTTTCAAAAGCAGTCAAGACCCCTTCTACGTCCCAGCGATCAGGCAGAGCCCCTGCTGGGGATCCCCAACAAATGGACGTGCTCATTGTGAAGGTATCGGCGTACGGTTTGTAGAAGAGACCATTTTGTCCCTCACAGCTTCATAAGTACCACAAGATAATGAGCTCGCATCAGAACGAAGGAAGTGCGGACGCACGTGCAGAACTCCTTCGAGAGAGAGAGCATCATTTTCACCTGTTGCTTTTAACACATATTTCTGTCCAGAACCTTACAAAATCATTTCTGCTACCCTCCCATCTCTAACAGTGAAAGCTTTTTGTTGTGAAAAACGTAGTTGTTACAAAATCACGATATACTGAGTCAATTCCTAGCTTATGCGAATGACTGGGTACCACCATCGTAATATCTGCTATAGAAGGGTTTCGAAAAGGGAAAGTCATTGCAGAATTTTGGATGAGTTTGAAGGAGGTGAGGGCCATTTTACTTCGCGTAGCGCGCATTTGAGCGAGTTATTTGGTGCTTACAATCGTAACTATATTTTTTACTCAGTACCTCTAGGTGCGGGAATGCTGTAGAAACACTCTAGAGTTGTAGGTGGCGGTTTTAGTAACACTGTGGAAGGGGCGTGGATATCTTTCCCATCTACTTCATAAGAAAAATGCTCAAGTGGCACAACATCAAAACGTATTTGGGAATACATCGATTATACTGGGAACCAATTATCTCCATATCTCCTGAAATATATCAAAGAGTGACGCGGTTCTGCCTTTGTGCTCACGACATTTCTCACTTCCCCAAGAGTACTGAATTTCAGTGTCATTTACGTAATTCGCTAGATCAGCTGATTCCACGAGTAAATTCGTCTGAATTATAGTTGGATGTCGGAAAACGGGGTGGGAATCTGAGGCTCACATATTTTATTGGGGAGTAAGGGGATGTGGGGCGGGAGTGCGAATATCTTCCAAATGGGGAAATCCCATCTCATGGTTTTCACTCATTAATTTCATCACTGCGGCTCTTTTTTGTAAATTCTTTGATTATGTGCAGTTGCACTGGAAATCTATTCATTTCTCCTTTTTGATGCTCAGGCTGCGTTCATACTTCGCGAGGGAAAAACAGCAAACTGGTCGATCGACATTTTGGGAGATGTGCGTTCTCCCAAAATGTCGAATCAACCAAATGGCGCCGATGCATGCCCTTTCACACTAAAGTTGAACTTCCACTTTCATATTTTATCATCACAAAGTATGCACGCGGTCTACGTGAGTTATGATGGAAGGTGCTCTCAATGGTAGTTCTTAAGGACTTCAAACGGGAAGAACTCGACTTGTCAGATCCCGATCAGGTGGCTATTCTTGCTCGAAACCTAGCAGCCGGCTACATGATCTTTGGTGGAGGTCTCACCGTTGGATTCAGCAATCTTGTGTGTGGTCTCGCAGTTGGTAGGTCTTAGTTTTGTTCCGCTTCTGAATGTTTTTAAACTTCAAATATGTTGTAGGTATCGTTGGTTCTGGTGCCGCTATTGCTGATGCTGCTAATCCCGCTCTCTTCGTCAAGATTCTGATCATAGAAATTTTCGCGTCTGCCATTGGTCTTTTTGGAATGATCATTGGTATTGTACAGGTACATCTTACTATATTTATAGTCCTCATAGAAAGTACAAGCATTAATTTCTTGCTACATTTTTGACAATAAAACTGCTTTACTTTCTGCTTTGAAAGTTCACCTAAAACCCTATTTCCAGACTAACAAGGCAACTATGGGAAACAAGTAGAGAATAATGTCTCGGGGCGTGTTCGAGTGAAAAGGATCATTCCAAGTTGTTCTGACAAGGGTTGTTCGAAATCTTGTCGTTCGTGACAAACGTTTTAATCGTCTAATCTCCTGATTTTTTTATGTACTTTTCTATAGTCCTCTTCCGAATTTCCTATATCTAAGCAGTTCGCATAGTTGCGGAAGAGATTTATCTGAAATCACACGATCTTTTTGTACATCTCTTGTATGTGTAGAGATTTTCAGTTTTATAGGTTGTCATGCGCTTATTCTGTGATGCCAGTTGTGTTAGATGTTAGAGTTAGTCATGCAGTACTGTTCCCTTTCTTTTAAAATTATCACCTCTTTTGTCCTGCAATTAACATCTGTATAGTTAATGAAAAATATCACTTCTCTCTGGGTTCAGTACTCTAACAAGGCGTGATCCCACTAGTGCTTGATGAATTTTCTGTCTTTTACATGATAAAATATTCAGAAATAAGTCGTTTTATTTGGAAGTGTTCTTACAAGCCCTGTAATTTCTACGGTAATTTCTTTGGCTGGAGCTTATCGACGCACAAATTGTAGGAGATTTTATCACATATAAGGTCCAACAGGTTGTAAGTTGTCATGAAGATTTCCATCATATTCAGCGCCATCGTTGGTGTGAGCGCGTCCATAGTTCGTAATCCGTTCGCTTGGATCGCGCGTTAGTATCGCGGAGAATGAACGCGCTCCCAGGGAGGGAACATGGGTTACGTGACAACTAAAACTTCCTGTGATGACCCTGCTAAGAATGGTGAGCGCAGGAAACAATGGATGCAGCTGCCAGGACATTGGGAGATATAAAAAAAACATGTTGCGAGGCAAGACGAATCTTCCAGAGGGAGAGGACACAGGGCTAGATGAGCCACTAAATATACGTGAAAGGTTGAGGGGTGAAAGATCAATGTGGTCACAAAACGGCATGCAGATGGGCTGAGTAGCATCGGTGAGTTGAGGGTTCTGGTGATCAGGCTGTTCGGCTTGAGACGACATTGGAAGCCAGGGGAATTTTGTTGCATATCAAGAGATTAGGGCATACCGAGTGAATCAAGTCTTTGATTAAACAACTTTGTTCGTTACTCATTTCGTGCTTGGAAGAGTCCGATAGGGCAATGTACGGATGTACAGTTAGCAGTTAGCAATTGGAAGGAACGTCTGCTTAATACGACCTCTCCTTTCTCCCCCCCCCTTAACTTTCTCCTTCGGCGTGACCCTCTTCCGTATCCGATCAGTCATTTCACCAAACTTTCCCAGGAATCGACAGCCAGTAAATGTCCTGTGAGCCTCTCTCGAGCTAGCAGATACAACCCCGTCGGATCCCCAGCGTACGACGTTCCTGGTTGCTCGTCGATGCTGCCGCTCGTGAAGGCGTTGAGTCATACGAGGGCGAGCGTTTTTTTTGGGAACCGATATCAGTTAAGCAATAGGGAGAGCAAGCAATGGATGACAAAGCTTTGAAATTCCTGTTCTCCACACGATAGTCTTGAAGAAGTTTTTATATCCATCGATGCAGCTTGCACACGTGGTCTAGGAGCTTCTTCTCTCGAGGTATGCGGTAAATGTACCGTGTTGTCTGCTGGTGGTAGTGCTTCTATTTGCTCAACGTTTCGGAAGTTTTTCTGACCCTGTTTTGGATGATATAGACGTTTTAAGAACCAGGCGAACAACGAACGGAAGGATTGCTCGAACTGAAGCCCCTTCCCCCCCACCATCAAACAACGTTTGATAGATTTGATTGGGCGACAGCTCCCTCGATGAAAGTGTCGTGGATAGTTGCTGTTCAGTTTAAAACAGTACTGATAAGTAATTTCCCAAAAAGAAAAAAGCAAGAAGAGCTCTCAAGAACACCATGAACAAAATCGCTCCCTGACAGTCACACCGCCCTGCGGTCTCTGTGCAACCCCTGGCTCACAAATCGCTTTTCGCATCTCCCAGTAGTGGATATCATCCAATGCAAAGAAAAGAATACGGAAAACAACAAACACACCAAACTCTTGACAAAAAATGGTAGCGTGCATCTTTTAGTGCATGTCGAGCTTTTGCACCACGAAAATTGCATCGCTCGTGATTTTTACGCGTTATACCTTGCGAGATGGGTTGCAGTTGGCTGCATGTGCTCCTAATGAATAAAATGTAATAAAGGAGAGCAGAATTATTTATGGGCACGAGCGTGGTCAGCAAAAAAGACATGCAATTCCGATTAATGCCCGCCGCCCCAACAAAGAACAACTGAGCGGCCCTCCGTCAGAGGGCATCTAGCAAGTGGGCGGTCCAACTGGGCGGGCGAACTAGAACTTTCAGCGGCTGTAGCTCGCTCCTCGCTCACTGTGGAGTCGCGAGAGTGGGATAGTCTCTAGCTTGGGGGCTGGCTACTTGCACAAGGAAGGACGACCATGTACTACTCGAGCGCGGGGGCTGTCTTTAAGGCAGCGTTCATACTTGTAGCGCTACAGCGTCGCGCTACTGCGTCGCGCTACAGCGTCGCGCTACAGCGCCGCTTCGCAACGTACTGCTATTTCCAACGTTAGGATGATTAGAGTTGCTTACAGAGAAAAGTGGGAAGGTTGCTGGAGTTTTCTTGAGAAATTCACGGAAAGGTGAGACTGATACAGCTGTAACTATCTGACGCCATCCTTGACAGTTACTCCATTAGTCACTATTCTTCTGGTACTGCTTTTAGCGTAACAGTGTCCTTCTGTCCTGATAAGAGCATTTTCTGCAAAAAGCACACCCAAGAGTACTCGCGCCACCTTAAAAACAAGCACGCATGTTTTTTTTTTACCGGAGACACAAGAATCATAAAGGAACTTCTTGTTTATCCTTGTGTTAACGCATTCGCTGACCAGACAGTCTTCGCGTGCCTTGTTGTGGGAGATAAGGCCATTTTTTCTGCATCCGACAAATCTATCAGCTTTGTACTAGCTGAATGCCTCGAAAACCACGGCATAAAATCTTTTCCCTTGTCCTTTTCCTTTTTCCAGGCAGAGATTGGGGGCGAACTCGAAAAGCAGATTTCGCTCCATAATCCATAAGCGGCATTGGATTCTGTATTCATTCTTTCTGTATTCAAACCTCTTCTCTTGTTGTTTTCTCTTCGTACTATACTGATTAGTGAGCTTCCCGTTTCCTTTTTAACCCTTATATCACATTTTAACATTTTGTGTGTTCATTTTTGACACAGAAGACCGTTATTAATGGTTTCTTGTATTACCGTTTTTGACTTAATTATTTGGGTTTCAGAGTGTTGCTATTTTGATGTTTGATGGTTTGCTTGATGGCCTTGGCATGGTGCCTTCACGTTACTCCTCGAAATCTAGTTTTTGGCATACCACGTACAGATTGCAAGCCATGATGTTTTTAGGTGGCGCGAGTACTCTTTGGGTGTTTTTGCAGAAAATGCTCTTATTAGGACAGAAGGACACTGTTACGCTAAAAGCAGTACCAGAAGAATAGTGACTAATGGAGTAACTGTCAAGGATGGCGTCAGATAGATAGTTACAGCTGTATCAGTCTCACCTTTCCGTGAATTTCTCAAGAAAACTCCAGCAACCTTCCCACTTTTCTCTGTAAGCAACTCTAATCATCCTAACGTTGGAAATGCAGTACGTTGCGAAGCGGCGCTGTAGCGCAGCTAGCGCGACGCATGTAGACGAACAAGTATGAACGCTTTGCCTAAGCGAGAAGGTCTGTGGGACGCGCTTCAGCTCGCGAATCGCGCGATTCCATCGAGCAATCCGATCCTGTGATCCAGTTGCGCGATCGCGTAGTCTGAACGCAAAAGTGACAGTCCGGGACAACGTCGATATTCGAAACTAGCCCAGTCCATGAACTTAAGACTTCATTTTTTGAGTGGTAGCTCACGCAGTTACTCGAATCAGTGTCGCTTCTGTTCAGCATATACTCTAGTGCTAATGGTTCCGGCATCATGCGTTGCTTTAATATGACTTCGCAACAAGAGTATCGGAGTATTTACTGATCCTAATGGTAATCGCTGGTCAATTTCAGTAGCTATTGGCTCGTTCATGGGTAATGGGTACCTATGGCTATTGAGCTCGAATGGAATACCTTATCGAGTGACTGCTGAGAATAAAATAGGTGAGTGGATTGGATTGTCGGCTATTCGGTTTGCTCATTTGAGTTGTTCACTCAATTTTGTGAATACCCTTTAACATGTTGTTGAAGGTCGGGGTCAAGATGGCCAAGTTCAGGCTTGAGTGAATTTTCTTCCGCAACATCTGTCAGCTTCCGTACCACAAAATGATTTCCTTCTTTCAATAAGCCTGATCGGTCCATACCTTGTTATCATATCTGATGAGGTTACACTTGATTTCCTGGCTCGCAAATCTGAAACTGCGTTCATACTTCGCGGCGTTCATACTTATACGGCAATGCCAGCGACTAGAAAACTATAGGTGCTGGCGCACGCTGGCATGCGCCGGCGTATGCCAAACCGATTCTATACTTTCCTAGTCGCTGGCGCTGACGTACGCGTGAAATGCCAAAACGCTGCCTTACGCTGACGCACGCTGACGCAAAGTATGAGCACAACCGAATGACTGCTGAACCCTCCCTTCCAAAAGTGTTAAGACATGAAAGCTCAGCATTTTTTTTTCTGTTTCTTTCTTAGCGATATGTTACTGGGCATCTTCCTGGCTTATCAGAACTGAAGGGTAAGGTCGAATGACCGCATCATAACCAGAGTCTATTCCCAGCATTCTTCCTCACCCAGCATCTCATCTAATATTTGTACGTGGGATCGTTTGACGGGAACTGACTTTGAATCCTTCAAAAAGAGGTGGTGGTTGTGCACAATCAATAGGCTGAATTCAGTTCATCATTTGAATTGTTCTGGAATTGTTGATGATCTACACTATACGCGAATTGTACTGCAGATGATTTTGAGGCTTTGACTACCTCACTCCACCTTTTTCGCTGTAAAAGATGGGGCGTGTCAGAGGGTATCGGGTTTGGCGCAGCGCCAAGTCAATTTCTTTTCTCTTCCTTCGCGAGCATCAGTACCGTATCGTATTGTTGGTATCAGTTTTTCTTCTACACATTGCTGTCGTTTAACTACTTGAATAGCCAGTGGAAAGCGAGCTGGCATCGCGCAAAGAAAGCCTCACTAACACGCCCCATCATGCAGCGAAAAGAAGACTGAACATTTATAGTGATGTTCTCTCGCTAATCATAAGTTTTCAGAACATATCTCTGAGGCTCAATGGAAGGGCGAGCCGGTTGTCATTGAGGGAGAGCCGCAGAAAGTCTGCCAGGTTCTTGCTACACCTTATGTAAGGCTTTTTTCATCTACTGCTGGAAGTTGTTATGAACTGCGAGAGTTTTCACTTTCTCTACACTTTGAAGCGTTTCGGAATAGGTTCTGCTGCGAGGAATCGTCTCAGTATTCGTTAGTCGAGGCATGATTCATATTTTAGGCTGCGTTCGCTTTGGATCACAATGGCAGAGTTTTCCAGTTCGTTCTGAATTCTCATTTGACCATCCGCCGGAGAGTAGAAATTTATGCGAATCAGGTGTGACTGCCATCGGCCATTGCTTTTACTCTTCTGGATAATGTGATGCTTTACAGCGGTGGTATCCTTTAGTTGGGTGGTCATCAAGAACGTTGCCGACGGATCGCGCGACGTTCAGTAATGAGGATGGGTCAAGCTCGGGAGACATGTCTGGCGTCCAATTGAAAGCAGATGGCTGGCGCTGGGAAGAGCCATGGATTGTCGATGTTGATGTGCGGAAATGCGACAAGGAGGTAGGCTTTTGCTCGAACAAAGCGTCTATTGAAAAGGAATAAGCACATGCGTTAAGGGATGGGAATATGCTACGAATTTCGCCGGGGCAGTTTGGAGCCCGATCAAGAGTGCCAGTTCGTTTGTACGTCGTCGCAGATGGAAAAGACATATGCGCTACACGGCATGAAAATGTGGCCGCGTGTGTGTTTCTTCGTGATTTGAAATGAAATTCTGAGAAGGTCTAAGATAGGGGGGTCATCTGCAGGGACTTTTGGAAGGACTCATCTATTCCATTAGAACAAGGAGTTCGAGAAACGTAAGAAAGTTCGAATCCTTGTGGCTGTTTAATCTGCTTTCTCTTTTCTTTTCTTCCTTCTTCTTCCCTTAACATTTTTGAACTTCTCCAGTTTTGAACGGTGCAATGTCCAGTGAATTAGGAGCACCACAGGCTCAAGATAACGTGTTCAGAAGTGGTATTTTGTGCTGTTTTCTGAAATCCAATGATTTGTTATTTTAAACATTTCGAGTTGTTTTTTCCTATCCTAATACAAACTGTTTGTCAGCTACCACCAGAAGAAACGACAACGTTCGTAGAGCTAGCAGTAGGTGGATTCGACATGCTGTGTGATCGTAGCTACTTACTATTTGCCTTGTCAAAAGACGGGTATGTGTACAGGTAAGGTACTCCTGGAACATGCTGGATTGTGATTCATTTTATCTCGCCCTGGGGCGTCGTTTTCGCTATAGACGCTGGGGCGTGTCAAGGGGCTGGTTCGGCACGGCGCCAGCGTTCTCCACGTATTGTTTAAGCGGGCAAGCGACAACAGTTGGGGGAAGGAGCAGGCTTCGGCGCGGCGCCAGCCCCTTTTTCGCCAGTTGTTGTCGCTCGCCTGCCTCAGCAGTAGGTCGAGAACTAGCTGGCATCGTGCCAAACCCAGCCCCTGACGCGCCCCAGCGTCTACAGCTAAAGTGACTGCTTTACGATCGCCTACCATGCATATTTTAGAAGGGTCGGAATTGGAGGGAACAATCCAGGAGGCGACTTCTGGAGTAAAATTCCGGAGATCGAGTGTGAAGGTTCTGTGAATTTCAGTTTAGCTTTATTAGACAATTTTTGTAATCTGATCGTGTGTCAGAATCGTAGAATCGTTTCAGAAGGAAGAGAAGATTTGGCGAAAATCAGCTGCTCAGCCTCATTGGGAACTTTGGTTGCTCTCACTTGGGACGGGCGATTATTTCTTAGAGTCGGAATAACAAAAGGTATTTCCACTGGCATTAGAAAGAGCGACACTTATGAAATTGTTTTGTAGAACATGTAATGATGTGCCAAATCTCGATTTAATGTGACTTTTTCACTA